GTAGTTAACTCTTTGATAAGTCGTTTCAACATCTGGGAATCCTCATTTTTAACTTCCTTTTTTGCTTTCTTAATAGGCGATGTATCTTGCATTGTATTTGTCTCTTCAGTGTCAACTTCGATGGGTCTTTTTTGGAATCCTTCTACCATGACAATGCTCTTATCCCTCAGTTGATTATCTTTACCCTCCCCATTATCGACATCTGGCATTTCTTCATCAATAATTTCTTGAGACTGGATATTAAGTTGCTTTCCCATCTTCCCAACTATTGACGAAGTGCTGGATTGAGAATCGCGCCTAAGATCCGTTCCAGTTGTGGTGACTTCGGTAATAGTCTCGACGCTTGCTCCACACTCGGGGAAGGGACACCCATTTGGTTTTGTAAGCAGGAGTTTCTTCTCGATACAGATTCTATGGAAAACATGTCCGCAGACTAGTATTGTGAATGCTTTATTGGGGGTGAAAAAAATCTTTTTATTGCATTCTATACAGTTAGGCAACTCGGTGAATTTCTTATTTTTGACTACATTGTCGTTGAAGTTTTTTAGGATGCTATATGCGAGATTTTTTAGATTAGTAGTTGAAACTTTTTCCGTTCTCAGCATAATGCCTACATAAGTTCTTGAACTACGGACCTTTACATATTTTCGTACGCTCCCATATATTTGTTCATACGTCGCTCGAAAAAAATATCCCAACTCGAAATGGTATTACATCTGAAATATCGCAAGTGAGAGGTAAAGTTTTTATTATAGCAGAATCGATATGGAAAGGCGAGTTTCATGACTCAAAGAGTCGCCCTATGGGCTGATCGGCGAAAAAACATGAAATTAACAAAAAATATCCAATGGGTGTATATGTGAGAAATTGAGTCATACGAAAAACATGTGGATATGACATCTTAAAACATGTGAATCAACCTGCCAATTTTGCGAAAACTATACATCGGCGATTATGAATAACGAATAAAATAAGCTAAGTATTTGGATAAATTGCATCATATTATACGATACTCTAAAGTGCTAATATACGAATTATTCAACCCGATGGATATATAAATATTCAGAACAATACTACTTGTTCCGCTATTGCTCATATCCAAATAAAAAGGTGCGTCTTGCTAAAAAAACATTAATAGCAGAGTCTTCAACCCATGGAATTCTGACTAATGAGAACTCTATATTTTGACAGAAAATGGGTAATAATAATCTCAGCCTCGCAATTCTTATCATTCCTACTGGCGCATTTTTTGGGTATCGAAGTATGCCAAATGGAATTTCTATTTCTAAGAATGAATCAGTCAACGTTCTATATACCAAAATTCGAGATAACTACTTGTATGAGTACGGAAATGCTTCTTTTAATCTCCGTGCAGTCAATATTGAACGTAAAGAATATGTGTATATGGATCCTGAAAAAAAAATTAGCGATTATTTCGATAACAATCCTAGAGGAATATTGATCCATATACTTGTAGAAGCTGTATAGCTTGAGACTAATGATTAGTTTTTTTTTTATTTCTATTAAGATTCGTAACTACTAATATATATTTTATATTTTTGTAAACTGAATAAGATACACAAATAAATGCATTATGGCTGACCTAAATACACATTGAAAATTCATAACAATTGTCACTAACAATTATGTATAATTAATTCATTACTTTATTGGCCTCGAAGGCGATAACGGATACAAAAATTAATTATCGGAAAAAATAACCATTTAGGTCTGATTGCTTTATTAATACAATATAAAATACATGTGAAGTGGGATAACTAACTATCCGCTATTTTTTGGTAAATTTTTCTCGTACGCGACGCCTCTTGCTTTCGGGTTCATCACATGCGGTTACTCTATCCTTCAATAACCAGGATTGGTATTACATCCGAAATAGAAGTGATCGGTGAAAAAATATCTATTTAATA